CACTTTGAATAATATTGCATGAGTTCCTTGTTTTTCAATGCTGTGTAGTATTCCATTGTGTGGATATACCACAGCTTCTCTATTCATTCGTTTGTTGATGGGCTGGCCCATAGGCTGCTTCCAACTCTTTGCTATTGTAAACAAAGTTGCGATAAACATGGGTGTGCATATATCTGCTTGGATGGCAGACATGGTCTCTCTGGGGTATATTCCCAGTAATGGGATTGCTGGGTCAAATGGTATCTCTATTTGCAATTTTTTGAGAAAGTGCCACACCGCCTTCCACAATGGTTGCACCCTCTTACATTCCCACCAACAGTGAATACGAGTTCCAGTTTCTCCACATCCTCGCCAGCATTTGTTGCTTGCAAAAGCAAGCATTCTTACATGTCAATTATTTAAAGCTATTGTGGTGGAGCTCACACAGAAAATCTCATGAGATGTTGTCCCTTGATAGGAATAAACATTATTTCCACCACCACCCATTTTCCACCCTAAAATAAAGAAGAAAACAGTGGCACAGATGTAGAAAAGTGATTTTACAAAGACAAGGGAAATTAAAATGGGAGAATATAATTTTCATTGAGTTTTTTCTTTCCAGCGAGGCTCTTCTTTGGTCTCCCTCTTTCCCTCTTAGTACCTCCTAGAATAAGCAAGTCCTCTCTCCATATGGGAGAGAAGCCAGGGGCTTCATCGACCAGAAGGAGGAACCTGCTCATCATGAGATCATGCTCATCGTGAGAAGCTACGCAGCATGAGTGCTTTTCCAAAACAAATGGAATTTGCATTCATCATTTTGTAAAATAATTTTATCTTACTTTTTCTTTACCGTAGGAATTTTCTCCATGTGAAAAGAAGATAGTTTACACAAAATCCCTCTGCTAGCCAAGTACAAAAGATATTTATAGAAGATAGTTTGTACGCTCTTCTTTCCAAGTTCTTTCTAGGCATTAAGTACACGAACGAGTATGGTCTTGTTCAACAGATGAGACGATATGGGACAACCTGTTCTGTAACCTGATCTTTTCCCCACTAAATACTTCTTTTATGTCAGAAAATGATCATAACTGATATCACAACAGCCTTGGTGGACTCCAGAGCAGCTGGTCACAAGGCATTCCTTGTGTGTTCATTAGTTACTCAGATAACTCACTGCAATCCACAATTCTACGTGGTCCCAAGGCTGGAAATCTTTACAGAAGCAGATGCCTCTGCCTTCTCCCTTGGAGTGACTGGCAGATTCAGACTGTCACTCTTTGGAAGTAGAAGTCCAGTCCCCTAACAACGGCACAACCAGAGCTCCTGGGAGTCTCCTGTGGCTTATGTCTGCTTCGCCTCCCAGGAACAGTGCTTCAGTGAACAGTTGTGTAGTCACATCTTTGCACAACCCCAAATTGTTTCTTTTGATGACTTCTTACATTCAGTAAGGGGCAGTTCCAAATCGATAGTACTTAAAAACAACAATAATTAATGAATCTGGGATGTGGCTTCAGATGCTGTGGGCCTAGAGCTTTCTGCCACTTAAACACGCTGCCTTCAGGCTTAGAAGAAACATGTTGTGTACCACTGAGTCAGAACCGACCCATAGCTGACCCTCCTGCAGGTTTTCAGAGGCTGTAAAGAGCATGGGAGGAGATTGTCCCTCTTTCTCCCACAGAGCAGATGGTGGATTTAAACTAGGAACCTTTGGATTGGCTGCGCAAGCCCTTTTCACTACACCACCACCAGAATAATGACAGTCCAAAATGAGGCTTTGTATTTGCTCTTTCAGGTACTGTGGCCTGAAAACCGGCTTGCTGACATCGCCGCTGGTGGGGTTCATGGTGACCAATCAGTGCACTTTCCACACACCCATCGGCTTTCCTCAGGTCCCACTGGCTGCATTGGCTGTGGAGAAAGTGGGTCAGTCTAGTGTGCACTACCGGCTTGCGCTGTTCCCACCAAATGCTGCCCAGGAGTCACAGTCAGTAGGTCACCGCGACCTCAGTGATGGTCTTTTCTTTGGCCACCCCATGCTGGCACAGTTTGGTGCTTTGGCCTGTACAACTGGATCTTCAGTTCACGTCTTTGTGAATCCAGCAACCAGCAAGCCAACGACCCTTCCAGAAGACTTCAGGAGAGGCCTCCTGAGACTGATGAACCCACCTCCAGAGTGAGTCTTCTGTCCATGGAATTGCAGATCTCATAAAATAAAGTTTCAAATAGTCTTTAAACAATTTATTTTTATTTCCTAGAATGTATTTTTTTTTTTGCCTTAAATATGACTGTGAAGTCCTTAAAAGTTTGATAGGGTGCCACATACAGAATCACGTACTCTTATAGGAAATCTCCATTGATCAGGCATCTCCTTGCATCAGGCCCTGAACTATCTTTCACTGATGTGTGCCATCAAATGCTCCCAACAACCAGTGAGGGACAAATGAATCTTCCCTTTCTTTTATTGAGAAAAATTAAATGGGGGTTATAGGTATAAGGTCATTCAGCTAATGAGTCTGACTGACTCCAGTATCTCCTGCTCTCAACCTCCACGCTAATACTGCCTCTTTAGTTCACCTCAGCATCAGCACCAGGAAGATCCATCATCATAGGAGGCAGTTGACATCAGCAAAAAGAGCACCACATCCTGACTACAAAGAATCCTTTTTTCCAGTATTTTAGCAGTATAGCCTTTTCCAATCCTCACACATAGCCCATATACTCATCCCACCGATCCCAGTAACTGCTCTGAGACATGGTTACTATTTGTTGCATTTTTAGCATCATTGTTTTGAAGAATAGGCCCTTGCGGAGGAAAGTGGCCTTCCAGAGAGAGATCACAGATCACAGAGTTCCCGAGTGGCAGAACTGGAAAACTCATCCAGCCAGGAAGTTAAGCCCAAGTCTTCTCTTCCCACCAACCCTACACTTCCCCTTAGTGGTCTTGAATTGTCAAATTATCTCATAGTTTATGACCAATTTATTATACTGTGGCAGCGCAGCAGTGGTTTACCAAAAGGTTTTAAAATTGGAGACATTATTTAAAAACTCAAAAGTCATACCTTGAAATGCAAAACTGACTTCATTGCTGAACCTCCAATGGGTTTCTGAGACTGTAAACGGCATAGGAGCCCTCAATCCATGAGGAGGAACACAGCCAGAGGGACAGCACAATGGCTCTCTCTAAAGTCTAAAGTGGGCAGGGCAGCCTGCCCTTTCACTGAGAAAGTGGTCCTGGTCTGGAGAGTCAGTTATATAGGCACTAGATACATTAGAGTTGTATGACTTTGGCATAATCCATCATTTTAGCTCACTAATATGTTAAATAGGGAATACAGTACAGCAGCCAGGAAATTAAAAGACAAATTGCATTGGAAATGTCTGCTGTCAGAGACCTACCCAAAGTGCTGAGGAGCAACGATGTCAGTCTGGAGACTAAGGTGCACCTGATATAGGCCATGGTCTTTGCAATTACTTGCTATAGATCAGAAAGCTGGACAATGACTAGGGATAATAGAAGGAGAGTTGATGCCTTTGAGCTGTGGTGCTGGAGAAGAGTATTGAACTGCTAGGAGAACAAACAAGTTTTCCCAGAGAGGGTGAAGCCAGGCTGCTCTTTGTAGACAATGATTCTGAAGCTTCATTTGACATAATTTGGACATGTTGTAAGGAGAGACCAGTCCTTGGAGAGGGACGTCATGCCTGGGAGGGTGAAGGGACAGCACAGGAGAGGAAGACCCTCAATGAGATGGATTGATTCATTTATTGGGGTGATGGGGGTAGGTGGTTGGAGACAATGAGATTGGCAAGGGATAGAGCAATGTTTAGAGCTGTTGCACATAGGGTCATTATGAGTTGCAGGTGACTCGACGGCACATAACAACAACAACAAGTACTGCAATAAACAAGAGTGCTGCTCACCAGTCAGTATTGAATTACACACCCTCTGAGTAACAATAGGACTATGCTTCTCTACCATGTGACTTGATGAGTGTTAACATGGGTGAAAGGGGTCATTTTTAGGAATAGTCTCTGATTGCATTGCTTGATGCTCTTGTGGGTTGAGACAAGTGGGTGTGCCAATGATCTACCAAAGCTGACAAGTACGCAGGACTTTTTAAAATAAAAAATTAAGCTGCTGTTACTTTAAACCATGGAGACAGTGTTGTTGGTTAATGTAGTATAATCCAGTTCTCTGCTTTGACCAGTTTCCTAAATTGCTGTGAGGTTTAATGAGAAACATTATGTACAATGCTTGACAATACCCAGTGCATGGCGATTACTATCCTAGGAGATAAGAAATATTCAAATGCACTTGCTTCACTAACGCATTCTATGTCAGGAAAAGAACCACTTCTCTGTTAATTTTTTTTTTTCAAGTGCTTCTGTGGAGAATCAGACATTGTTTGGTAATTTTTTTGTTTGTTTATGTAAGAAACAGGTGAAGAGGCACTTAAAACACATGGATAGTAAGATGAGTTGCTTCTAGGGTCTTGATTGTTGAAGGTGCTGGTGGTTCAGTGGGAGAATTCTTATTTTCTATGTGGGAGACACAGCTCTCTTTCCCAGCTAGTGTACCCCACCCACAGTCACCTTCTATCATCTGTTCTTGGTGGCCTGTGTGTTGCTATTATGATGAATGGGTCCCCCAGGGAGATTTAAGGCTAAGAATAAAGGCCTTGACAATCTTCTGTAAATCAACCAATGAGGATCCAATTGATCACAACAATCCCGTCTTGCAGTGACTTGGATGGCACAGGACAAGACGTGGAGCTGCTACGAGTCAGGGAAACAACAATGTGCTAACAATGACAACAGTGTGTGTCCAACCAAGAACTTTGGGATGGAGCTGAATTGAGAGCAGAGATCACTACTTTAGGAATTTGCTGATTTGGCAATCTCTTTATTCCGTAGACTAGGCCATCTAAGCTTAATACCGGTTTGTCTCAGGTGAACTTTATGGTTTGGGGCTTTACTCGCAGGTCTCTGATCCACCTTTGGTTGATTTTTGTGTATGATGTGAGATATGGATCCTGTTTCAGCTTGCTGCAGTTAGCAGTCCCGTTTTGCCAGCTCCATTTGTTGAAATGTTGTCATTTCCCCATTTGATAAGTTTTATTTCCTTGTCAAATATCAGTTGAACCTAGCTAGATGGTCCATTTCTGAGTCTCAATTCTGTTCTGTTGATCTATGTGCCTGTCTTTGGACCAGTATCATGCTGTTTTGGTTACTATCTCTGTGTACTAGATTTTGAGAAAAAGAGAAATTCGCTGAAGTTCAAGTAAATCTTTTGACTTAAAACACTGATGGCTGGGTATTCCCACTGCCTTTGCTAATACTCAGCTGTGAGCCAATGTGATGAGCATCAAGGCAGTCATTGCCCTGTTTTTAGTGGAAAATTATATAATATTATATTATATAACCCATGGATTGTCAAACCAACAAACAAATATGTCTTGTGGAAGGTACAGCCAGCGTGATCCTTGGAGGCAAAGATGATAAAGCTTCATCTCACATACTTTGGGCATGTTGTTTGGAGAAGCTGTTCATTGTAGAGGAACATCATGCTTGGAAAGGTGGAAAGATGGCAAAAGGCAGGAAGACACTCAATTGAGAGTTGGCATAGTGACTACAGCAATGGGCTTGGGTGTGTCAAAGATTATGAGGATGGCAAAGAGTAAGACAGGGTTCAGATCTTTTGTTCATAGGATTTCTATTAGTTGACTTGATGGCACACAACAATAACATAAGACATAACAATATACTCACCCTTGGCAAAATCAATCAAGAAATAAAAAAATGTATTACACTAGAAAAGTCTGCTAACGGGGAACTCTTCAAAGTACTTAGGAGCAATGGTATCAGTTTGAAGACTAAGGTGTACCTGATTCAGGTCTTATCAGTCACCTGCTATGCATCAGATGACAGTGAAAAAAGGACAGTGAATAAAGATGACAGAATAAGGGTTGATGCCTTTGAGTTGCAGTGCTGGAGAAGAGCACTGACTATCCCATGGACTGCTAAAAGAACAAACAGATAAGTCTAGAGAAAGGGCAGCCAAATGCTTCCTTAGAGGGAAGAATGGTGAAGCTTCGCCTCATACGTTGGGCTTGTTGCTAGACGGGGGTATTTGTTGGAAAGGAACATTATGCTAGAAACAGTGGAAGGTCAGCAAAGGAAAGGAAGATGACACAAAATAGGACAAGGTTCAAATCAGTTGTTCCCAGGGTTGTTATGAGTCGTCCTCGATGGCGCACAACAACAAGATTATAGGGAGAGCCAAATCTTAATGCATGGTCTTGGAAGAAGCCAGAACTTTATTACAAAGATGACAAAATAGATCTGTTGTTGTTTTGTGCTGTTGAGACAGAACTGACTCATAGCTGACCCTCCATCGGGTTTTCAGATGCTGTAAATTGCACAGGAGAAAACTGCTGGTAGATTCAAACTATGTGCGTTAGGTTGGCAGTGCAGTATCTTAGCACAAGGGCACGGGGGTCTAAAAACAAAAAAACCCAAAACCTGAGTCAGCCGCTTACTACTGAGCTCCACAAGACCTTTCTGGAGAGAAGCTAACTTGTAGCCATGCAGCTAATGTTTCCTGGGCACTTTTGAGCAGATCTGACTGGGTCTTTTGCTAACAAAGGAACAGCTCTGAGAACCCAAGCAGTTGGGGGAGAAAGAAATCAATAAATCTTCAGGTCCACAGATCTTCCAGTGATAGTTCCATTATACTTGAATTCATAGGGGAAACCTACAGTGAGAGAAAGAGGTGCAAAAACGCGTGTTCATGTTTTGCGTGGACAGATTCTGGCTTCCAGCAATTAATGCTTTCAGTCACATTAATCACGGAAATAATGCTTTGTGACATTACAGTATTGCCCATTACAGATCAATTTTGTAGCATTTGTTCATAATCAGACTTGAAATGTTACCTAGGCACAAAATATGTTTTCCCTGAAACAGTCAGACCCTATTAGAAATCTAAGGGTTTACAAATCACCATGTTAACAGTTATGTCCCCCAGCGAAGGTTTCCTTTCCTTAAATAGTGATAAATTCAACCCCAGAAGCTCTAGTCTCTTTGAGGGTTACTTTTCTTATTTGCACTGACTTGAAAGGAAAAACTTAAGAGCTCAAAATATATTTAGCATCTGGATATGTGCAACCTAATAAATCAACCTGTGCTGCCATTTGGGTGAGAAACTAAAGTTGGCACCTTTTAAAAAAAGTGTATATTTAGCATTCAACTACATAGTAGTTTTTAATTATTATTATTATTATTTTTTTAAGCATAGTTTTTACCATGGACTGCTAGGAAAACAAACAGATTTGTCCTGGAAAGGGTTAAACTGGGTGGCTCCTTGGAGGCAAGGATTCTGAGGCTCCGTCTAACATACTTTGGACATGTTGTGAGGAGAGACAGGTCCTTGGAAAAGGACATCATGCTTGGGAGGGTGGAGGGACGGCGCAGAAGGGGAAGACCCTCTATGAGGTGCATTGATTCAGTGACTGAGATAATCAGGATGGGAGTGTAGGAGACAGTGCAATTGGCACAGGACAGAGTGGAGTTTGGGGCATCTGTACATAGAGCAGATTCAGAGATTTCGAGGAGGAAACATCTCTAATTTTAGAGCTGTGAACACCTGGAGTTGAGTCCAGGCTCTTTAATTACTGTAGAATCCGGGGCAAATGACCTAACTTCCCATTCAGCTAATACCTGTTTTTATGTATTCCTCATAAAAATCCCCCAACTCCAATAACCCTCCATGAAAGCCACTGGCTCTTTATTCATTTAGCAAATAATTACTGAGTCTGTTACATGCTAGATGGTATTGTTCTACTGCAAAGACCATCTTGGTCTTAAAACTGACATTGGTACTTTGGGGACGTCCCTGACAGCAGACTTACCAATGCAAGAAATACATCCCCTGATCCCAACTGTCGGTACAAAAGGTGTTAATTGTGAATCCAGTGAGATTAAATCATTGGTAGATTCAATCTTTTCTCTATCATGATGTTGTCGATTGGCCCACAGATGAGGACCTTTGTTTTCTTGATGTTGAGATATAATCCACATGCAAGGCTGTAGTTTTTGAAGCATCAAGTGTTTCAAGGCCTCTCCACTTTCAGTAAACAACGTTGTGTCAACTGCATAATGCAAGATGCTAATGAGTCCTCCTCTGATCCTGATGCCACATTCCTCTTTGGTGCCCACTAATTGTTTGCTCAGCATACAGATTGAACAGGACACTTCCCAGACACACATCCTTCCTGATTTTAAACAATGCAATGGGTAGGAGAATTGACTGATGCCTTTGAGCTGTGGTGCTGGAGAAGAGTGTTGAGGGTACCATGGACTGCTAGGAAAACAGATTCATCCTGGAAAGGATCAAACCAGTGGCTCCTTGGAGGCAAGGATTCTGAGGCTCCGTCTAACATACTTTGGACATGTTGCAAGGAGGGACAGTCCTTGGAGAGGGACTGGGGTAATCAGGATGGGTGTGTTGGAGACGGTGCGATTGGCACAGGACAGAGCAGAGTTTAGGGCTGTTGTACCTAGGGTCGCTATGAGTCGCAAGCAACTCGACGTCACATAACAACAACACAGTGACTGGGGTAATAAGGATGGGTGTGTCGGAGACAGTGAGATTGGCGTGGGACAGAGCAGAGTTTAGGGCTGTTGTACATGGGGTCGCTATGCAACTCGATGGCACATAATAACATCAATGTTCTCTTGCATCCTGCTGACAACAGCTTCTTGATCTAGGTATAGATTTCACATGAGCATAATCAAGTGTTCTGAGATTTCCATTCTTCTCAATGTTAGCCATAATTTGCTGATCCAAAGTCAAATGCTTTTGCATTGTCAATAAAATTCTGCTACTGTTTGCTTTCAGCCAGGATCCATCTGACATCAGCAATTTTATCAGTGGTGCCAGAGTCTCTTCTAAACCCTGCTTGAACTTATGGCAGTTCACCAGCAACGTACTGTTCTAGCCATTTTTGGATGATCTTCAGCAATATTTTGTTTGCATGTGAGATTAATTATATTGTTGGATAATTACCACATTCTGTTGGATCACCTTCCTTGGGAATGGGAACAAATATGGGTCTCTTCTAGTCAGTTGGCCAGGCAGCTGTCTCCCCAAATTTCCTGGCACAGACTGGTGAGCACATCCAGGGTTGCATCTATTAGTTGAAACATACCAATTGATAGCCCATCAGTTTCTGGGGCCTTCTTTTTTGCCATGCCTTCAACACAGCTTGAATTTCTTCATTACCATTGACTCTTGATCCAGACCATGGTATTTTTGATAACTTGATATCTGAGAGCTGGACAATAAATAAAGATGACAGAACTGATTCCTTTTGAGTTGTGGTGCTGGAAGAAAAGCACTGACTATCCTATGGACTGCCAAAAGAACAGCTATGTCTTGGGAAAAGTGCAGCCAGAGTGCTCCTTGGAGGCAAGGATGGTAAAGCTTTGTCTCTCATACTTTAGGCATGTTGCTAGGAAAGCCCTTTCTTTGGAGAGGGACTTAATGCTTGGAAGGGTGGAGAGTCACTGAAAGACAGGAATACCCCCCAACAAGATGAATCGACACAGTGACTGTAGCAATGCTTTTAAGTGTCAGGGATGACATGAATGACACTGGATAGGACAGGATTTAGGTCTGTTGTTCAAAAGTTCAGTATGAGTCATATTTGACTCAACAGCACCTAATATCAACAACTATTCTACTGGGCAACAAAACAGAAATGCTCCTACGTTCATGGTATTCATAAAAGATTGTGTGTAGATGAAATGGTGGCACCTCTCCTGTTCCCCTTAAAATACACTGTCTTTTTGGGGGAGCTCTGGTGGCCTAGTGGCAAGAAGCTACACTGCAAACCCAGAGGAACACGGTTCGAATCCACCAGACGCTCTGCCGGAGAAGGAGGCGCAATATCCTCCTGTACCAGTCAGATCTGATTTGACAGTACACGCACACAAAATTAAAAAAAAAAAAGCATAAAAAACTACGCTGTCTTTTAACCTTTAGAACCTACTTTGACCTTCTCTGGGGTGGGAGCTTTGCAGATACACCAAAGATCCTGAGGTGAGATTATTCTGAACAAGTGGACTCTAACTCCAATCTCATTGCTATCAACTCATAGCTGACCCTCCACTGGATTTCCTAGGCTGTATTTGCCCTTTGGGTTCCTTATAAGAGAAACAGAGAATATACAGAAAGGGAAAAGCCACACGAAGGTAGGAAGACAGGTACACTAGGCCAACAGATCTACAAAACACCGAAGATTGTTGGGAAACAGACAAAATGTCCTTCCCTTGAAACCATGCGCTGAATCTAGACTTCCAACCAGTAACTCAAACTCATTGCTTTCAAGGTGGAAACCCACTCGTTAACTGACCGACCATTCACTGAATTTCTGAGGCTGCTAACAGCACAGGAGATTCCATCTTTCTCCCTTGAAGCTGCTGGTGGATTCAGACTGACAAAGAAGTGTGGTAGTTGGGCGAGTAGTGCAACGCCTTATTACAGATTATGCCACCAGACTACCTTCTAAGACCAGAACTGTGGAAAAGGCAATTTCTGTTCCTCAAAGCATCCATTTGTGGTATTAGCGTAGCAGGAGCAGAAACTAGCAAACTGAAACACTCGGTGTGTAAAAGGACAAGAAAGTCCCTGGAGCTGGAACATGAGTGGTGAAGAGGTAACAGTAAGGACATGACACTGACTAGGTAGGTTGGTGCCAACTCCTGTAAGCACTCACAAGTCAAACACCTGGACTCATCTCGGGACCTTACAGGTAAAAATGACCTGCAGATTCCCTAACACAAACAAGAAAGTGCGTATGTATTTACTGAATTGGTCAAAACGGGTATGGAGAACATTCTAGTAACTGGTCTTGAAAACAGAACCTTTATTATCTTACTCATGTAATCCAGCCCACGTTTAATCCTTTATGAATAACGATGTCATAAATAGGACACGTGACACAGAGCACACAGTAGAAAACCCTCAGTGGGATTCTTTATTTCATTTACTTTCTACTTAAAAAGTGACATTTTTTAACCTGTTAAGTGTTTTTTGCATCACTCCTTAGCTTGGAGCATTCACCTTATCCTTTCTCTAGGATGTAACGAGCACAAGTTTTGGGATGGTCTGTGTTTCCCATTTCACCAGGTGTCTGCTCCCCAGGCTCATCCCAATCGGTGACCAAAGCTCAGTTGTCCCACTCCCTCATGGACCTGTCAAGAAAATGTTCTCAAGTACATTTAAAGTGAATACCATTTTCCTATGGTTCTTCAAATGCTAGACATTCATTTTTACCTCTAAAATGAATTTTCTTTTTCACATTAATCTTTCTTGATTGTTTCTAATAATAAAGAACTAAACAAAACAAAACTCAGAGATGCAGCCTCATCTGCACATTAGCAGGTCTGTATGGGAAAATGCAGAGGTTTTTATACCATTTACAGTAACAGCTCAGAGGCCAACTTCAAAAATGGAAGAATTGGAAACATGAGACTTGCTCAGAAATAAGCCTGCCTACAAAAACAGAGAACAGTCCCTTACAAACTACTGAATAGTGGCAAACATTTAAAGAACACTGGCAATTAAAATTTCATGTACTGCCTTCTCCTACACCCTACCCACCCAGCTAGCTTCTAAAGAACAAGCCATTTTCAAGTTTCAGTTTTTTGAAAAGTTTCAACTTAATGAGAAAAACTCGAAAAATCATGTAGAAATGCATCCCCATAGAAAGTAGTTTATCAAGGTGTCCACGCATTCTGCCAGAAATAGCGAAGACTATTTTCTGGTAAATATGGAGAGAAAAATACACTTTTACCCCCGATTTGAGGTAATGAAATTGTTTTTTGTTTTGTTCTGGAGACACAATTTGTGTAAACGAGATAAGTGCAACAACCATTCAAGACAAGAAAGCCGAGAATAGGTAAGACAAGCGTGGGTCAAAGTTCATCATGATTTTTTGTGAGATCTTCCCCATAATTAGTAGCCTGGCTGCCAACAAACATGTTCCAGTTCTCCAAGATTTCCTCTTTCGTTAGCTTCTCGTCCTGTAAGAGAAAGGAAGTTTGTAATAGAAGCTCTTGTAACAGTGAATAAAAGGTTGGACATGAAATCCATGTGCTCTCTCTCATTGATTCATGGCATTTTAAGCACTACAAGTAGCAAGGAAGAGAACCCGCCTTCTTCTACCACTACCTGCCCTTCAAAACTCTAAATGAGAACAGCTTCCTGCTATAAAAGATGAGCTAAAAATATATCAGTTAAGACCTCGAATAAAGCAGAAGTATCATCCATGTCTAAAAGTTAGTACTGGCATTCCCAAAACAGGTCCTGAAAAACCACACTGAACATGTGGTGACGAAAGCGGGAACAGGCAGGACTTTCCCTCCCCCACTCTTATAATACTTATGGGGTATTTATCAATATGTTGAAGCACCAGACATCTTTCCAGAAGAACCTGAAGTACTGGTTGTTGTGAACTGCCACAGAGTGGATTCTGATTCATGGCAAGTCTACGTGGACTGGGTAGAACTGTTCACAGAACTCTCGTGGCTGTGACCTTATGGAAGCAAACTGCCAGGCCAGGAGTTACTCTGAAATAAGCTTCCTTAGAAAACAAACAAGAATGTGAGCTTGACCAAGGATATCTAGGCTTTAGTGAGATGGGTTCTGTGTGCCTAACACATCATAGTTATTTGAGAAATAGCCAGAGGTTGAACCATTGGGTGACTAAGCTCATATTACCGCAATGCCAAGGTCTATTTCTTAAATCCATGTCCTACCCACATCAAACAAATTTACTGCTTCTGCAGTCCTAAAATATGTGACTTAATGTAAGTTGTGGCTCATAACAGACTATGTAACAGGGAATGCCTGGACCTAATAAGCTCACTGTGGGTATTGAGTCAAATTTATAGGCTCCTTCTGTCAGGCAAGAATGAGAAAAGTCAGTAAGGACAGGGTCACGCAGGCCAACACTATCACCAAACCACAAACAAAGCAATCTCACGTAAACTGTCTCTTGACAAACAATTCCAGAAGAATGTCAAATACCTTGTTTTTGTCGGACTCATACACCAAGTGCCTGGCCTCCGCCTGCGCGTGGTCATAATCTTGAGGGAGGATCCAGTGGCGAATCTCATCTTTGTCCAACTTTCCATCCTTGTTCAGATCTCGGAATTCATTAAACTGCTCCCTTTCGGACAAAACCCAGTCTGGCTCAGGGCCATTGTCCTCATGTGAAAACATATCAGCTAGAAGGAAAAGGTTGTTCTCCGGTTACAAAGGCAAGTGGGAAGGTAAAGGGCAAAGAAAACAAGATCTCCTGAGGTTTCAAAAGCAACAAATGCTGGCGAGGTTGTGGAGAAACTGGAACCCTGATTCACTGTTGGTGGGAGTGTAAAATGGTGCAACCCCTGTGGAAAGCAGTATGGCGCTTTCTCAAAAAGTTGTAAATAGAGATACCATTTGACCCAGCAATTCCACTACTGGGAATATACCCTGAAGAGACCATAGCTGACATCCAAGCAGATATATGCACACCCATGTTTATTGCAGCTTTGTTCACAATAGCAAGGAGTTGGAAACAACCTAAGTGCCCATCAACAAACGAATGGCTAGAGAAGCTGTGGTATATTCGCACAATGGAATACTATGCTGCATTAAAAAACAAGAAACTCATGCAATATTATTCAAAATGGTTGACTCTGGAGAACATTATGCTGAGTGAAATATCCCAGTCACAAAAGGACAAATATTACATGATGCCACTGTTGTAGAATGGAACTGTCCTTGGGGTTGGGGAGAGACTGAGTAAGATGGGTTCAATAATGTATACTGCACTGAAACAGAGGAGGGAGAGAACCGTTTAAAAGAGAGATGTAACTGGGTATTTCTGTCATCACAGGAGACTAGAGCGAGGGCTGCATGGTGGAGGGGACCTGGGGGAGGGTTTGTAAAACAATGAGAGAATCTTTTCTTTTACTTTTCCATAATTTTTGGACTCATGTACTTATAACTTGTTAGTCAAATTTGTGTCTTCTAGGTTGCAACACCCCCATGATACATCTTCAAGGATATGTACATGTACAGCGAAGCACAATCAATAAGAGTGCATCTGAATTCCAAAATCAATCTCCATAATAGTCTATGTGTTTCCTACTGCCAAAGGGGCCCTTTAGAGTAGTGAGAGAAGATCTTCACCCTGAAACCCACAGCGTCCCTTTTCAGCAGGAAGTAGCTAAGAGAATACGCCGTCCCCTTTTCCTTATGACTCAGGGTGAAGTCTCTCTCAGGGAGGAGTGATAGGGAATGGCAAAGGATACACTGACAAAGAAGATTAATCAGAACTGGCTTTGACAAGCACTGTGGCATTTGGACAAGAACAAACTGGGAGGAGGGTAGAGAGAATAGTGCAACAATGAATGAGTGGAAGCCCAAAATCTCTGTAAATGTTTATGGAAATTAATAAAATATAATTATAGAAAAAAAAAAAAGGCCACAACCAGTCAAGAGACCTAACACAACAGCTAGAGGGCAGGTTCCTGGGGGAATAATGCTATGATTGATCCATCCAAAAGGCCTCCTGGCAGAACAGAAAGAAGGGAGCACAGGAAATAACTCCTGCATCTTGACTTTACTCAGCAATTGTGATTAAGTTATTTAGCTTCATAACTGAGTCACTGTCTCATCTGTATAATGGAGATAATAAGTTATCATTACTGTAAAGAGCTAATGAAATGTGTTAGGTGCCATCAAGTCAATTCCAACTCATGGCAACCCCATGAACAAGAGATGATCCCTTGTCCTTTCCTGTGTCATCCCTACAACCGCATGCCCCTTGCGGCAATCACTGTGTCGATCCATCTTGCTCAGGGTCTTCCTCTTTCTCTGATCCTTTGCTTTGCCCAGCAGGATGTATTTTTCCAAGAACAACGGTAGTACAGGTTACTAAAAAGATCATATAGAAAACATTTGATGGGAAACCCTTCTAAAACTGAATGCTAAAAACCACCAATGGTCAACATCAACTACTTTCTATGCTCCAGATACTGTAACAAAGTGCTTTACATAAATTTTTCCATATGCTTTTCACAGCATCCATATGGGAACTATGTGCTGTTATTATTCCCATCTTACAGATAAAAAGTATTGTGGTGTGTAAGGTTTAGTGTTCAAAATGGCTTTCCTAGCCACTGACTTTGACTTTGCCGTGTAGATGGGGGGGGAATATGGAATAGGTTATGTTAGCCGATCCACAAGGGGACTGGCTGGTCTTGCCATTAAATTGAGCAGATCCAGCAGCAAGAGGATCTTCCCCACTCCAAGGAAAGAGTAAGCAAGAGGATGTAGTGTGTCCTTCAGAGCAAGAGATTTTTGCACCAGACAGACTAGCCAACAGGAATAGCAGCCACAGCAGAGAACCAGAGACCTGACATGAGATGGGACCTTGAAACTGCTACATCATTGGAACTGGAGCCTTTACCCAAGTTTGTTGGGCAACTTGGGATGGGTGGCTAAATCTGCAGGACTAAGAACTCTGTCACACTGGCCTAAAGCCATGAGGCTCCAAGTTAATGCGCCTACAAGAACATTTTGAAAGCTGTCCTGACTATATTCCGATACTAACCTGGATTATACCTTTTGACTTTACCAATATGGTTCTGTGTGGTCTGTGAGCTATTACATCAGATTATGGACCCAGTAAAGCAGTAAGATCAGTGTTGAGATGAGTAGAAAGAAAGTACGGAAGCGTGGGAGACATGTCTGATCACACAGGAATTGGTTTTGTGTTACTGATGTTGTTGTCAGGGACAACTCCCCTTTGTGAAGCTCCTGAAGGTCAGAAACGGCTGTTCCCCCGCGGCCTGTGCTCTTTTTTCCCCCCCTGTGCTTTTTTGACAAGCATGAAGGCATATACGTGTCCAAAATTTACAACTAATAGGAGCTCAAGCCTGCACACCAATGTGGGCACTCTGCCTTCAACCTGGTCTTAACTACTCTGCTTAACACTATTACTGTTTCTGTGGTTTCCAAATAATTTTCATATATTTTATTTTATACAACACCCCTAAAAGATAATCATTATTCTCATTTACAAAATGGAAGAGGAAGGAAAAAGAAGCCAATGCTTACGCATTATTTACTTCCTCACTAAGTCTTCTTGGAAAGGAAAGCTGGTTTAGCCACCAGGTAGACCCACACTTGAGATTCACAGTACTTTGCAGTTTGAGAAAGAGCTTTTACATATATAGCTAGCTGAAGCTTCATCATCAGACCCTGCAAGCACATAGTGTCGTCTATTTAAGCTCTGTTTTAAGACAAAGTGAGGCTCAGAAGGGTTACATGACTCTTAATGGGTAACACACCAGTAGGCAGAGAGAAGCCAGGACTCCTGATTCCAGTGCTCTGCCTGCCATGCTACCCGTCCTACAGTATCCCCTCCTTCCCCACCTGAGGGCACCTCCATTAAAGAAAACTCGTGTGCTAGGCAAGTCGATACATTCATTTTCTCTGACGGCAAGCTTTGCAGAATTAGATTGCCAAGTGCCATGTCCCCACTTACCTCTCTGTGCCACGTCAACAATGAAATGATCCTTTTTTTTTTTTATTTGGCAAAGCCACTCAGAGATATTTGCCCCTGACTTTGCACCATTTCAATGCAGAGTTCAGGAGGGCTGGGAAGAACAGAGAGTTTTAATCAAACGTGCTTCACTGTTTGAATCAGTCAGCTTTTTCTGTCGCTCTTCATCCCATCACCATGCCCATGGTGCCGCAAGCGTCCCTCTCACATGCACCAGGTGAGAGGCTCTTGCGGTGCTTTGACAAGGGAACTGTCAGTGTTTGTTACTCTATGGAAGGGGTGCTGCCCCAAGCATCTCAATTACTGCGGAGAGCGCTACCTGTCTGTTGTCACAGGCAGACGGGACAGCGCTGGGCCCTGAGGACCAAACTCTTTATTACTAAAGGCACTAGCATTTGAGCGTGGGAGGCAAAAGAATAGAACCACAGAACCAGAGATCGACGGGGAACTTCAGCTCTGATTTTACATTTAAAGGTAATACACTGAGAAGCAACTGAAAAAAGTTTGATATATAAAATGTTAAATTTTTATCCTAAGATTAATGTCATTTTCAGCTCTTCTAGGTAGTGAAGGAAAATATAAGACTTGGGTTCTGTGACTAAAGAAACGAGGCTATTTTGTCAAGACAGGAGCTCAAAAGCAAACAGCTCATTGCTACTCAGTTGATTCCAACTTAGAGACACCCTCTGCTGAGTTTCTGAGGCTGTAAATCTTAATAGAGATAATCCAGCTTTTTCCCAAGAAGCGGATAGTGGATTTGAACACCCTATGGCCTATGCAACTTGAGCCCCTCATGAAATGTATGCATAAACATTATATCTATCTTTCATAAATCAATACTCAAATCAAATGATTGTTTCGTTTTTACTGCCATGATAGCAAGGAGTGCTGGACATACTGAATTGCCTGGCAGGAGAACAAACAAAGGAGTCTTAAAGAAAACATGACTAGAAGCAAGGCTGATGAGATGTCAGCTAGTTTACTTTGGACATGTCATCGGGAAAGACAGCTCTAGATATTGTGTGTGGGAAGGTAGCGTGTCAACGAAAGCAAACCCTCTCAATGAGGTGGGTGGATTGACTCATTTTACCAAAACAAAGTTCTAAAAAACTATCAATGATCATGTTAACTGGCTTCATGAGCTGGACCAGGCAGGGTACCAACCTTACCGGGAACAGACTGCCCCTCTTATAGGTATGGTTGCCATGGGTCACAGCTGACTCAACATCAACTAGCATCAGGGATGATTTTATTGGAGACCTAGTAATAGAAGAGCTGTCTGAAGCAGGCAGCCTGCAGCTGGAGCTTCATGGAAAAGCACTACTGGGACAGCCAACTGATGTAAGTCAAACATAAGCATCCTTACTGCCTGGTCTAATCTTCTACGCTTTGGCACAGCCAGTCAGAGAATTCTGCCTCGTGTTTACTAAGCTGCTGGGGAGAACTGTAATCAGGAACAGTGAATTCCAGCCAACATGTGTTCATTTGAGTCTCATCCACCCAGTGCTCACATCATCGAAAACATCACTCCTCAATGTCGCACAGTGGAGACTTTTTTGAGCAAGTATCAGGTATGAGAGTCCCAGCCAAAGGATCCAAAAACCAGTCACAAAATAACTTTATTGCTGAGTAACTGTGTGCTCTGCAAAAGGCTTTACCTAAGTCGGCATTCTTTTGTGTGGAGAACTCTCCTGGGGCATATAAACACTTCTACTGATTACAGCTGGATCTACTCAGAGTACCCAGACACCACTGACCCACACTCTTTTAAGCCTTTCCCCTGAGATTTTCTGCTTTATCCTTACTGTATATTTATGGGATCTCCTATTCTACTTACAAAGGCAAAAGTGGCCAGTGTGATCAAGGGAAACTACTGGAGCCCTGGGGCCACTGTTAGCCAACTTAGTGGCAAAGGCAACCTTTTCATCTCTTCTTCAATGACCAAGGTTTAGTAATTCCTCCTTGATACTGCACCATGAGTGCTGTCAGGCCAAAGCAGGCCGGAAGGCTCTCCCCTTTGTGAGGCCACAGCAGCCGAAATGGACCAACTAGCAGCTGTTGCTAAAAAAGACTCAGAGAAAGAGGCCAGACATGTGGGTGGAGGAACACCGCCCACTTGGGGCAGCTGAGCATGACTCCAGGCCAGCACTCACCAATGTACTCATCCTGATCCACGAAGCCATCCTCGTTCTTGTCAATGTCTTCCAGAGTTTCCTAGGAGGGAAAGAAGAAGAGAAGAAAAAAAAAACCAATAAAACACCACAGTGCAAGATGGCCATTGCCCTAAATCAATCTGAGAATTCTAACTATTGCCTTCCTTTGTCCAACTCTTATATGCTATATGACATCTGATATGCTATCTTATTTTTCTGGGCATTTGTTTTCTATAAAATAAAGGCAGTGGTTTTTGTGAGTACTCCTCTGCCCTAGAACTTTGACAGCAGAACTCTCTTTTAAATTGTAATGATGTCAGGTTGAGGACTAAGGTGCACATGAAGGCCATGGTTTTTCTGATCACTTGCTATGCAGCTGAGAGCTGGACAGTGAATAGGGATGACAGAAGAATTGATGCCTCTGAGCAGTGGTGTTGGATCTCTTAGGAAGTTCTCCTCTAAGTATCAGTTCAGATACCCAGGCCTCTTTCTTCTTACACTCTACCATCTTGTGGCTTCAAGATCATCCTGGTGGTAACCATCTGGCAAACAAAAGGAAAGAGGAGGAGAAGGCACAGTCTCTCCTAACTATTCTGGCCAGGAGATTTGATACCTCTCACATTTACATTCCCCCAGCCCAACCTAGATATGAAAAAGCTGGAAGATACTGTTTGGGGACTTGCCCAAGAAGAGTGTATGAGTTTAGTGAGCAACTCTCTCATCTCCATTTTATAACTGAAAGAGGTTTAGAAAAAGACAGACTTGGAATGCACTGGGTTGTCAAAACTCTGTGGAAACCTAAAGTATGTTAAAAACCTATGGAAAACGGTGGCTGGAAAAGATGTTCCCTTGAGACTGGGTCTTTGGAAAGTGAAAAGATCGTTTACTAGACTTTGAGGACAGTACTGCATGAAAGGCTTCTGAGTGCAGTTGGTTTGTGTCTTGTCTTGTTGGGGCCCTTCTTTACCCATCAGAGTGAAATGCCGTTTGGGGGGCAGATACCCCAAGCCATTCCCACCAGCTTCAGTGCTGGGGAAAGGCTGGAAATAGCTTATGTTAATTGTCAGCTCTGGACTATACTAGTTGATCTTGTCAGAGGATGGGTCCACTGTTGCCTCCTCCTTTATTCTCATGACCACCATGACCCTAGGTATTGGACATTAACTCCAGAAGTAATTTCTGCTTACTGATCAATATCTGTATTAAGGAGGAAGATGAAGATAAAGGTATTGCCCACAATGGGTGAAGTGCCTTCTGGATCAGCCACTGTTGTTGGAGTAGTGTCTTTAACTACAGATGCCTTGGAGTTGCTGTTGACAGTGGACTGCAAAGTCACTATCAGAAAAAACCCAGTTAAGTCAAAATGGACTAACTGTAAAGCAAAACAGCTTCAAAAGTCATAAATACTTTCTGTTTTCGGTTGTCCTCTATTTTATAATTCTCTGGCACCAACTCTGTTCATGGTCCTAGGATAGAGTGGGTTTTGTTAATCATTTCGTATAGTAGACCTCAAGATAGTTGGTTCATCTCATCTAGTTTCTCAGCAAGGGAGCTCTGATAGCTTCGTGGTAAGGAGTTGCATGTCAACTCAAAGGCACGGTGGTTCAAATCCACCAAACACCCTGTGGACGAAGATGGGCAGCCTCCTCCTATGTGATTTATGGCCTCTGAAAACCCACTGGAGGATCAGCTGTGAGTCAGCTTTAACTTGACAACATACAACAAGAAGTTCATTGGCAGCTCTACCAGGGCTGGTTATAGCTGGATGTTAGAGGTGATAGGCCTGTCAGGGCTTTCGAATATCATCAGAGCAACTCTGAGCTTGTGAGCTGCTGTTGTTGTTAGGTGCTGTCTAGTCAAGTATGACTCATAGTGACCCTATCAACTGCGGATCTGAACCCTGTCCTATCTTATGCCATCTTCACACTTCCTGACACAGTAGAGCCCACTGCAGCTGTCACTGTGTCAGTGCACTTGGTTGAGGGTCTTCTTCTCTCCTCCACCCTTTCAAGCATCATGTCTCTCTCCAAGACATAGTCCCTCCTAGCAACGCCTGAAGTGAGGCGAAGCTTCATCATCCTTACCCCCAAAGAGCACTCTGGCTACACCATCTCCAAGACGTGAATTTCACTCTGATGGGTAAAGAGGGCCCCAACAAGACAAGACACAAACCAACTGCACTCAGAAGCCTTTCATGCAGTACTGTCCTCAGAGTCTAGTAAACGATCTTTTCACTTTCCAAAGACCCAGTCTCAAGGGAACATCTTTTCCAGCCACCGTTTTCCATAGGTTTTTAACATACTTTAGGTTTCCACAGAGTTTTGACAACCCAGTGCATTCCAAGTCTGTCTTTTTCTAAACCTCTTTCAGTTATAAAATGGAGATGAGAGAGTTGCTCACTAAACTCATACACTCTTCTTGGGCAAGTCCCCAAACAGTATCTTCCAGCTTTTTCATATCTAGGTTGGGCTGGGGGAATGTAAATGTGAGAGGTATCAAATCTCCTGGCCAGAATAGTTAGGAGAGACTGTGCCTTCTCCTCCTCTTTCCTTTTGTTTGCCAGATGGTTACCACCAGGATGATCTTGAAGCCACAAGATGGTAGAGTGTAAGAAGAAAGAGGCCTGGGTATCTGAACTGATACTTAGAGGAGAACTTCCTAAGAGATCCACCTTACTGGTACTGCTTGCACTGAACTTTGTACAGACAAAAAAGAAGCTTTTACTCCATTAGATGTTTAATAACAGGGGCTCTCTATTCCAGTAGCTAGTCTGCCTTGACCAATTTACAGGATAACCAGGTATTCTAATGCTGTCTACTTCAGAGTTCTCCCCTTCTCCTCAGGTCGTTAAATTTCTCTTTGAAAAAAGGAACACGATTTTGCCCACTGTCCTGTACCAGGTTCTTAATCTAGCTTACCAGAACCACAATTTCCTTCATATGCTCAAACTCCTCAGGGTGCAGGAAGGCCGTGAACTCCTCCCGAGTGGCCGTATTGTCACCATTGAGGTCTGCGGCCTTGAACCGTCTCTCGTCACGGGGCAGCATCTTCTTAAAGGTGTGATGATCTGAACTGTCTTGAAATTCTTCCGGGTTTCCTGCAGCATGCAAATAGAAGCTTACACTGCTGCCAAAGAAGGCATTTCCTTCTAAATAATGCGTCCTTCATGCCCACGTAGTAAATGTGGCAGTGACAAAAGGCTCTGACCTTCTGAGTTCTTGGAAAGATTTTTTTCCCAAGTGCCTCAATTGTCTGTCTCTTTACATCATCCCCTAATTCAGGCCCTACTCTCCTCCTGTGTGATTTACCGGCTCTAAAAAACCCGCTGGAGAGTCTGCTCTGAGTCGGTTCTGACTTAAAGGCACACTACAGTAATAGCCGACCAGGGGCATTATAATAAGAGGTCTGAGCATGGGCTTCAGACAACACTAATGTCATCCTCTCTTTTCCAGAATTCTGCTTTCATCATGTCACTCCTAGATCTGGAACATTCAGAGGCTCCCCAGTGCCCATAAGATCTTTGTCTGAATGCCTCTGCCTGGCTTTCAAGGTTTCTCTTAGTCTGGCTGTGTGTGTGTGTGTGTTTTTCTTTGTGCCTATCTCCTTGCCATCCCTATCATGGACCTAGCACGTCTGTACTTGGTACCTCTCTGTCCTACTTTCCTCCACTGTCTCCCTAATCTTATTGTCTGAGGTCCAAGCCTTGCCCATTACTGAGTAAACTGTTGCACATCTGCCCCATCAACAGTGTTGTACCTTCCCTACTTGTACCTACTGTACCTTCTTTCTAGATATGAACCTGTTTTTCAAGGTCCAGCTCCTAAAGCATTCCTCCACCAGGAAGCCTGCCCGCTTTCTTCCACCCCGCTCATTCCTACACTCTGAAACACTTAAGTATTCTGAAATTGTGTCATGTTCTCGAAAAGTGCCTCTGAGATCAAGGAGAGAAGTGACCAAGTCTAAGGCATCTTTTATTAGTTCCTGATCTTCCAACACCCACCACCTAGGTCTTTATGAGGAGTATACAAGGAAAGAGCATACTCTTAGTAAGCAGAGGAAGATGGCACCCAAGCAGGTTCTACCTGGGAGGGTGAGACATTTCCCTGAAGGGAGGGGCTATAAATGAGAAAGCAGAACAATTCTGACCAGAATCACTCCCACACCCACAGCACCTCATACCTAAGTAGTAACCATATGTGGCCTGTTTGTATTCTTCCCAGGATATTTTGTCATCTTTGTCTCGATCATAATCCTTCCAGACTTTGGCGACACTATCGTAGATGTATCTCTTCTGCACCCGTTTGATCCAAGTTCTCAGCTCCTCCGTGGTAACAAAGCCATCCCCATCACTGTCGATTCTATCCACAATCTTCCTGTAGTTAAACAGCCACAAGCCTATTATTAAGGACTAGCAAAAGACCAAATACCTACAAAATTGAAAATGCATAAACAGTTAAAATGAAATAGATTATCTGCTGACACAGAAAGAATGCTAAACTTAACCTTTTCAAAGATGCTATACCTTCCCCACATACAGTATCTCCTTAGAAGACACTTCTGACGTCCCTGTTCTGACAATCCTGGACAGAACCCTTCTCAACACACTGCTCTAGAGATGGACAACTAGCACTTGATTAAAAAACTCAAACTCATTGTCATGTGGTCAGAACTGACTCATAGCTGACCCTGCACTGGGCTTTCAGAGGCTGTAAATTGCAAGGGAGACTTCACATCGTTCACCCTAGGAACGATAGCCAGTGGAATCAAACACCCTGTCTATAGATTGGAAGCCCAACTTCTTACCATGAAGCCACCAGAGCTCCTTTTGCTAGCTGATTAGAGTTGACACGGATGGTCATTCTCCTATTTTAGTGTGGTGGAAACTGAGGAGCAGAGAAATGACTCTTCCAGTATTGCACATCTGGTATTTGGTATGACATCACTGAGAATCAAGCCTACATAAAATGTACCAAGGCCTCACAAACCAAAAAATAGGTTGGTTCTTTGTAGTATTTTTAAAAAGGGTTCACCACCTTGGACTCAAGGACTTAAAGATCAGATCTTATTGAAGAAAGCATAAAATCTGGGCATTATGGACTCTACCATGTTTTTACACAATTAATTACTGTTCTGTTTTGCTCTACTATGCTTTGCCCCCACAAGGTATTTTTGTTTAAAAAAAAAAGTGAGGGAAGCCACCTCATAGTTCACTTTATAAAAATAATACATGAGGGAAGGTACAGTTGGATAAAAGTAATAAACGGAATTATGTGCACTATTTGCATAAAAATAAGGTATTCAAGAAAGAAATTTAAAAAGGTATTAGAGAAATTTTGCCAGTTGGGCATCTGCAGTTGTCCCAATCTCCTGCTCTTTGGGGTCAAACCTCCTCTGCCCACTGGGGTCTCCCACCCCACAGCTGAGTCAGATTCCAGCACTCACCAATGAACCCCTCACTTGTCGCAAACCTTAGTTCAAGCTGGGAACTAATCATTCCCCATCTCTAGGCTTTCCTCTGTTTTACTGATTCTCACTTTTCCCAAAAGGTAAGGAGAAGAAGACCTTCAACGAGATAGGCTGGCCTAGTGACTACAGTGGGTCTGAGCATGAACGGCACCGTGATGATGACACAAGATGGTTCACAGGTTCCAATGACATGTACCTAACAACAGGCCAAAGGGTCTCAAGCAAGGGACATCATCCCCCTGTTGTAGCTGTTAAGTGCCATCGAGCTGAGTAATGGCCCTATGAGCAACACCTGAATCCTTTTCTCTCCTGTGCCATCCTCATCATCTCTGACACGCTTGAGCCCACTGCTGTAGTTGCTGTGTCAACCATTTCATTGGAGACTTGACTTTCTTTAGCTGACCCTACACCCCTCTAGCATGATGCCCCTTTTTCAAGGAACATTCTCTCCTGGCAACATGCCCAAGTATGGAAAATGCAGCATCACCACCCTTGCCTCCACGGAGCACTCTGGCTGCACCTTCCCCAACATATATCTTGTTTGTTCTTTGGCAGTCTATAGGATATTTGTACTCTTCTCCCACACTATGGGTCAAAGGCATCAATTTTACTCCTTTCATCCTTATTCAATGTCCAGATCTCAGATGCACAGCATGTGACTGGAAAAACTAAGGCTTGAATCTGGTGCACTTTAATCTTTAGACTGACATCACTGCTCTTCAGAACTTCCCTGATAATCGCCTTTCCCAAAGCTGTACATATATCCAGATCGCCTGACTGCTGGTACCAAGGGGGCTGGATCCAAACAAGAGGAAATCATTGACAATTGCAATCTCTTCTCCATCTATCATGATGTTGTCTAATGACCCAGAGGTGAAAATCTGTATTTTCTTGATGCCAAGATGTAACCCATATTGAAGGCTGTCACCCTTGTTCCTCTGCAACAAGCACCTCAAGTCCTCCTAACTTTCAACAAGCAAGGTTGTGTCACCTGCATAACTGCAAAAGGTTGATGAGTCTTCCTCCAAGCCTGATGCCACACTCTTCTTAGTAAAATTATTTGCTCAGCATACAGATTACTCAAGTCCCTAGAGAACTTTAAAGGTAACCACCAGCTATTTACAATATTTTAAAAAGCTTTCGGCAAGCAGCCCACTCACCCACTCACCTACTAATTACACCATTGTTTCTTTGCTTTAGCCTGGAATTCTATCAGCTCAATGATTGACTAGAAATCTTGATTGGCAGCTAATCTTCGATTCATTTAAATGAGACTCAAATTCATTAGCCCTTAATAAGTACAGACAAATGAACAAAATCTATTGTTGTTGTGGTGATGGTGTTTGTTTTTAGGTGGAAAGGGTGTAGAGGATAGAAGGCAGTGGTTGGTATGAAAAAGCAGCGAGTACCTTCCAGATAGTAAATTGGTGGAGAAACCCCAACCTCATCATCAGCCTCCTTCAGTCTTCTCAACTCTTACCTAAACCTGGGGAGCCTAGCCTCCTTTTCTCCCAGATGGTGTAAATGCTGCCAGCGGCTTTAATATTGACCTTTATATGCCATTTTAACAGGCCTCAAGATGAAAAGATTAAACCTCCAGAATCTCCAGGCTTCCCTCCAGGAAATCACAGCCAGACACTGCAGGAGCCTTTCAACAATGTGCAGGATGGAGTTCACTAACTGTGTGCTATCACTGTCTAACTGTCAGCGTACCGAGTAATGGCGATTTGTGTGTTGCTGGGATACTGAAGGGTCACTGAAGGTGGACAGGTTTCAGCAGAGTTTAAGACCTTGATAGACTAAGGGGGAAAAGCAGATATTCTACTTCTACAACCAGTCAATAAAAGCCTTAGTGATCACAGGACTCTGTGGCACACTGGTGGCATATGGAGCCTTTGCAATTCTCTGGCATAGTCAACCTAGGGGCCTTAGAGCTGCAATATTTTTGGAATCTATATCGGAAGCAGCAGTGGCATCCACTTCCTATACAACTTGCCTCTGGAAACTATGAACTTTGATAAACGTCGATAGTTGTAGAGGGGGTTGAGGCCTTTTGTTCATAGGGTCGCTCTCGACTCAAAGGCAATCAACAACAACAACATAGTCAAGTACAGGGAGCTCTAGTGGTCTAGAAGAGTCAGGTATTTCAAGCCCACCAAATGCTCTGAGAGGCAGATGGGTAATCTCCTTCCACGTGATTTATAACTTCTGGAAAACCTCTGGTTTTCCAGAACCTCTGAGCTATGATTCAGTTCTAACTCAATGGCAATGAGTTTTTCTAGTTCGGTGATCAGGTATTGGTGAAAAAGGTGTCCAAGCCAATCACATTCCTCCATTCAAAGTCTAGACATAGAAGAGACTGCTGCGATTGGTGGTGCAGACAGAGAGGGCGCTCCTCATGCTCAGTCATGCCCCAAACAGAACTCACTACTGTCCTTGCCCCTGCTGTTTCAGAATTAACTTACCAGTAAGAATGCATCCATCACTCACCTTGGATGGCTTGGGTGAGAGCCCTAGAAGTCTCTCTGGCCTCCGCCTGCTTGGCTCCCTCATGCTGAGCCAAGAGCAAGATCTGCCAGTTCTACCTCCCACCTATCTCTGAACTCATCCTTCCCGTGTGAGCTGGCCTGGCTCCCCATCTCTGGTCTCCCAACTGTGCCGTGGGCATATTCTCTGCCCCAACACCAGCCTGACTTTCCTGACAAGTTTTTAGGATCATATGATGCTCTGATTGCATACAAGACAAGATCTAATCTTCTCAGTGGAATCTATCCTGTTCTGTCCTGGTTCCTTCTTCATCCCCATCATTCATTTCTTCTCTCCCACCCCTTTACGGCTCCAACTCCTCTCATATCCTGGGAACGAGTTTTAAAGTCTTTAGAAGTGAACACTGCCAACCTGAAAGCACACAGCTGTGCTGTGGAAGAAAAACGGGCAGTCTCCTCCCGTGTGATATGCTGCCTCTGAAAACCTGCTAGAGTGTCAGCTATGGGTCGGTTCCATCCTGAAAATACATAACACCAGTAGGCGTTTGGGAATGGCTTCCCAAGCATGTACACCTGGCAAATGCTAAGTCCTCTCTCAAGCTCTAATCAGGTGTCATCCTCCATCTATCACTCATCTCTTCATCCTTTCTCCATCATACACTCACGGTACTTTCCAGATCCCACCAAAACAGCAATAAAACACCGTGTTGGCTGTACACTCCGAGGCCTGCGGCAAGAGGCCTCTTGGTCCCTGCCATGGTGGTGACTGGCACACAGCAGCCACTGAAAGGCCTGTTGCAGGCACCCATGAAAGGCATTAGGGTGCTTATAAAAGGATCAAAGCCCATTAGCACTTGCTCTCACCAGGAAGCATGCCTATCCTGATGAAGGCATTCAACTCAAAGCTGCAGGAATGTGTGCCACAGTTCCCAAATGCAGAAACCTCCACCCCTCCTCTTCCTGACAATGTGCAAATGGCTGCCACTTGGGGCCCCAGAATCAATCAGGCTCCAAATGCCACAATGCAACACAATAGACTGAACTCATCAATGGCCCCCATTGTTAAGTTCTCAATAAGAAAAGAAGTACTGCTCCGTGAAATAAAAGGCGATTGTTTGGAAGTGACTTTGAAGTTCAAAGCTCTCTTTCTCAGGAGCAAGAACACGTACACAACAGGTATAATTTAGACTCCCATCCTAAGTGAACTAGTTGTTGGCCTGCGGTAGCTCCCAGCAGCACAGAATGACTGCATTCTCTTTTATGAAACAGGAGAGGAAGATCCTCCACCTCCAGCAACCAGGCTTCCCTGTAGGCCCGTACTCAGAGGGTGGGGTGTTGGGAGCCTCCCAGCTCTGCCTGAGGCTGGACGAGCAGCTGATTTCCCCGTGAAAGCACTTTCTGAAAGGTATGCACAATGTCTGAATGCATCACCAAGAGACCTTGGGATGGTGTCGAGAAAAAACTAACTTACTTCCTGGGTTCTGGTTCACTGCCCTTAACAGTGAAATTCACAAACCACCACCAATCCTCCCTTCAGCTTCCTGCAATCATTTGCAGATACCTGCTGTGGGCAGAAACTATACGGACAAGTTTCCAAGCCACTGGCCCCCCCGTTGCTCTTCCTTTCTTAACAACCGCAGTTTTCTATTCCTACAAAGGATTTACAGGATCACGCAAAAGGCAAGAATACCCTAGCCAGGGCCCAGCCTTTCTCCTTCGACTTTTATCCACTTAAGTTCATCTTTGAGACCTTCTTAGTGTCTCAAGCTCCTCTCTCGGATGATAGGGGGAGAGTCGAAAAAGAGGTAGGCTGAGAAAGAAAAAGTTGAGGGAGGGAGACCACTCGGGACAAACTGTAGTAGTGTATACACTATCCCCTCCTCTCTGATGCAACTAAGGGGAGGGGGCGGGCCCTCGCCATCCTGGCTCCCACGACCCGCTGCCACGTTCTCGCATCCCATGGTAAGTCAGCCATCTAGGTCAGTGATCCCGTGTAGGGGTCCCGGTCCCGCGGGCAACTCTGGCCCCATCTCGTTGCCAAACCCGCGGGCCCGCCCTCGAACTCACGCACCGGATTTCACTTTCGCTTTGCAGCGCCCGTCCCGCGTGGCTCCCGCCCGGGTGGCCCCTCGCGCACCTAAGCCGCCCCGGCCCAAGTGGGTCCCGGGCCTCACCCCAGCCTCTCCTGACTTTCGCTCGGTGTGAGCTGATCGAAGGTCTTGGAGTCCTCCTTGCCCAGGAAGGCCTCGTGGTCGTACTGGAAGCTCTGGTTGTCCTCCGGCGGCCGCTCGCCCAGCTCCGAGTCGGGCCGCACCACGCGCTCCTTGCGCACCGTGGGCTTGGCTCGCAGGGTCCCGGGCGCCAGCGCCAATGCCAGCAGCAGCGCCAGGCCGAGCCCCAGGCTTCGATCGTGGCCGCCGCGCGCCATCGTCCACTGGAGAGGGCGGCCCTGAGCGAAGTGTAGGTCGAGGCGGCTGGCAATGGGGGTCTGAGCGCTACAACGCCGGCGGGGCTGCGGCCAGCGCTGGGGAGGGGAAAGGCAGCCCGCCGGTCAGGTCCGCCCCAGCCCGAGCAGAGGGGCGCGCCCCGGCCCAGTGCTGGGAGCTGCGCGCTGCCCCCGCTCACGCGCTCATTGGCCCGCCGGCCTGCGGGGGGCGGCCCGGCCTCGCAGCCACGTCGCCAGCCGGGGTGGTGGGCGCGGGCCGGGGTTTCTGTTCCCGCCCCTCCCGGGGATCTCTTCGCGAAGGGCGGGCCCAGACAACTGGGCTGGGGACTGGAGGGCGCCGGCAAGACGCGGAGGAAGTTCTGCAACAGATGGTCCTGATAACATTCCCTCTCTCTTCTTCCAATTCCAGAGAACTGAAAGAAAAGCAGTGCTGCCCCGCCTCAGTTTCCAAGTGGCAGCCGGAGTTTCCCATCCCACCCCTGGATGTACTGTTTATCAAAACATGGAGGCTGGTTACAAACACTAGACTGGATGTGGATTAGAGTGGGCGAAGTTCCATAGTGAGTGAGGTCGCAAACTCAAATGTCAAGAAAGGATATCTTCAATATGACAATAGTGAGCTTATGGCCAGCGACTCACCCCTTAGGACACTCCTTGGGAGTGCTCTCCAGCCCAACTTGCAGAATTGTCCCTTATCCCAGAAGAAATCAGAATTCCAGATCTTTTGTTTGTTTGGTCTGTAATCAACTTGATGCCTTTGAACTGGGTGGCAGAAGAATACTGAATACCCGAGGAACTACCAAAAGAACAAGCAAAACTGTCTTGCTTACAAAGTGCAACCACCATGGTCTTTAGAGGCAAGGGCAGTGAAACGTCTCACATACCTTGCACTAGTCAAAGTGGAGGGTCAGAGAAAGAGAAGATCCTCCACAAGATGGATTGACACAGTGATTGCAGCATTAGGCTTGAACGAAGAACTGAGTTGGTGATGGTAGCACAAGATAGGCCAGGGTTTAGATCTGAATGGTACCTGTGAGTGTGGCCAACTTAATGGCACCTAAAACAACAAACAAAAGTGGTTTATGAATCAAACAAATCTTGTTTAACACATGGAGTCTAGAATTTCACAGAACAACATTATGGAGTCTGCTTTAAAAGGTTTCATTGAAAATCAGGGATTTAGCAGGAATCAGTGAATAAAACACAAGTGGGATTACATATTTGAGGAAGAGTAAGTGCCCTTCAGTTCATGACAGCACAGTCACGGGACAGTGGCAGGACAAATCCTTCTGTAAGTTGCTATAAAAAGTGCTTTCTCAATTCTGCCTCCTTTTGAAGTCCATTATAAAGATTTATGATAATTCTGTGCATCAAGACACTTTGGCAATAAACTATTGCATTGACCATCTTTTGACCCTAGAGGAAAGACTTTCTGGCAGACCTCAGAGGAAAAGAGCATCCCTTTTCAGGTATATAGGTAGGTTAGCATCAACATTAGAGGAACTGCTATTGGAAAAGCCAATTTTAAAATTCAATGTAGATTCTAGATTTGTGTCAAAACATTAAGATAGGATCAAGAAGGTTCTGTTTTTGAACTGTTCTGTTCACACATGCCAAGTGCCTCTGATTTTAAACTCTTTTTTTTTGTTAATTTTTGTTTTGCGTGTACCGTCAAATCAGATCTGACTGGTACAGGAGGAGATTGTCCCTCCTTCCCAGGCAGAGCATCTGGTGGATTCGAACCATGAGCCTCTGGGATTCTAGTTGCAGCTCCTTGCCACTAGGCCACCAGAGCTCCCCTTGATTTTAAACTCTTACACAGCAGTAATGCTACCATCATAGAACTGATGTGTCTTATAGAACATTCTGCAATGACAGAAAAATGCTGTCTCTCTGACTAAAAGGTTACTAGCCACAGATGGCTACTAAGCACTTGACATATAGCTAGTGTAACTAAGGCACTGGGAATTGAATTTATTTAGACTTAAGCTTAAATAATCACAGGTGGCTAATGTTTGCCATGTTGACAGTGCAGATCTAGAGCGAGGAGTTGTGGTAGGGGCGGGGTCAGTGACTCAGAAAGCCACAGTAGGTTCTCCTCTAGCAAATGCATATACCTTTCCTTGCACAAATGTTTGATTAGATCTGAAACTCTGCCTGTGAGTTCCAGATTAAGACTTGCTAGAAAAAGAAAACTATGGTAGAAGAGAGGAACCCACTCCTACAGTTCTGGGCAGCTGTATTGTCAGAACTTTCCTTCTATCTTAGGTAGCTGTGCTTCCTTGTGATAAGGATGGCAGGACTCTCTGACCAATAGCATTGATACAAGTATCTTTCTTAAAACCTCTTTCAGTTAATTAACAAATAATTATTTTGTACTCATAATAGCTAAACTGGACCAAGTACTAAGGGTTGTTGTTAAGTGCAACTCATAGCAACCCTGTGAACAACAACTCTGAACCCTGTCCTATCCTGTGTCATCCTCACAATCTCTGACACCCTTGAGCCTATTACCACAGTCACTGTGTCAATCCACCTGGTCGAGGGTCTTCCTCTCTTTGGCCATCTCCCCATATTTCTAAGCATGATGTTCTTCTCCAAGGAATAACTTTTCCTAGCAGCATGTCCAAAGTAGGTGAGACAAAGCTTCACCCTACTTGCCTCCATTGCCAGGAGCACTCTGGCTATACCTTCTCCGAGATAAAACTGTTTGTTATTTTGGCAGTCCAAGACATATTCAGTATTCTTCTCCAACCCTGCAGTTCAAACACATCAATTTTTCTTCTGTCATCCTTATTCATTGTTCAGCTCTCAAGATGCATGTGGTTGAAAATACCATGATCTGAATCAAGTGTACCTTAATCCTCAAACTAACATTGTTACTTTTCAATAATTTGGAGAGATCCCTGAATGCAGACTTTCCTGGTATAATATGTCTCCTGATCTGACTACTGGTACCAAGTATATTACTTGTGGATCCAAGTAAGACAGAATCAGTGACAGTCTCCATCTTTTCTCCATCTCTTATGATATTGCTTATTCAGCCAGTGGAAGGGATTTTTGCTTTCCTGAGGTTGAAATGTAACCCATATTGCATGCTGCACTGTTTAGCCTTTTGTAGCAAGTGCTTCAAGTCCTCACTTACAGCAAACAAGCTGGTGTTATCTGTTTACTGAAAATTATTGATGAGTCTTCCTCCAACCCTGACGCCTCATTCTTCTTCATTGACTCTAGCTTGGATAATTTTTCTCATCATTTAGATTAATAAAGTATGGGGAAAGGATACAGCCCTGACACAGCTTTGCTATTTTAAACCATACAGTGAAGGCTCTGTGAGAACAGGATAAATTCACATATAAGCTGACAAAGAGCTAACTATCAAAATTGAAGTGCCCTAAGGTGAATAACTTGATATAGTTTGTGCTTGTTAGACAAGCAACGTGAATTTTTGCATGACAGCGCCAGTGGGAAAAGGTCTGTACTATAAAAAAGGATTAGCAAGGGAAGGAGCAGATGAATGGTGTCTGGAGAAGGTCTTTGCCAACTTTACAACTTTGTCCATGGTCAAGTCTGGGTTCCTGGGACTGGCCTAGAGTCTTAAAAATGAGAAAGTACATTTTTTTTTTGCCCTTGTTCTAGTTGATTCTTTGTCTGAAAGACTATTCCAGAGCAATCTTGACTCCTGTGGGAAATACCAGTGCGGTCCAATGCAACTGTGAATCCAGAAGAGATTAAGTAACTTCCACTGGGTTCACGCACATTCTCTGCCTTTTACTTTCAGCTTCTTCTCTGTTTTTAGAGTTAATAGGTCCCTAACAACTTTTGTATCATGATGATGATGCAAAATAGCTCAAGTCTTGAACTATGTAATTGTTTTCTTTCCTTTTTACTTCTCCTTTTGTGCATGAATGGAGAGACTGGTTGAGTACACCGTTACCTCCTAGGTTAAGCTTCCCTCGATGAAGCAAAGCAAGAGAAGAGAAAGGAGTGCAATTCAACAGAGCATTGAGCCAAGAGAAAGGAAATGCGACTTTAAAATGGGCATGTTGAACAGTTAGGAAATATCTAGTTGCGATTAATATCAACCACAGCAAAAGTTGACTGTGGTTGAAAGGTGCCATTGATTTGCATACAACTCATAATGACCCTGAAAACGGATCTGAATGGTTTTCTATCCTGTGCAGTCCTCATCATCTCTTACACACTTGAACTCATTTCTGCAATTGTTGTGTCAACCCATCTTGTTGAAGGTATTCCTCTTTTGCTGACCCTCCACCTTTCCGATCATAATGTCCCTTTCCAAGGAATAGCCTCTCCTAGCAGCATGCACAATGTATGTGAGATGAAACTTTGACATCCTTGCTTCCAAGGAGCTGTCTGGCTGCACTTTTCCCATGACATACCTATTTGCTCTTTTGACAATTCATGGGCTATTCAGTGCTTTTCTCCAATAAAACTCACAGACATCAATTTTTCTTCTGTCAACCCTATTCATTGTCCAACCTTCAGATGCATGGTGAATGATTGAAAAGACCATGGACTGAATCAGGCGCACCTTAATCTTCAAACTGACTTTACTGCTCCTCAGCATTTAGAGAGGTCCCTGACAGATGACTTACCCAATTCCATATGTCTTCTGGTGTCTTAACTGCTGTTACCAAGGATAGTATTTGTGGATCCCAGTAAAATAAAAGAGTTGATAATGTCAATCTTTTCTCCATCTATCATGATGTTGCTGTTGATTCAGTGGTGAGGATTCTTGTCTTCTTGGTTTCCAGATGTAATCCATACTGAAGGCTCAGCCTTCTTTCATCTTCTGTAGCTAGTGTTTCAAGCCCTCCTCACTTTCAGCAAGCAAGATTGTGTCATCTGTATAACATAAGTTGTTGATGAGTCTTCCTCCTATCCTGATGCCACATTCTTCTTCAGAAGGTCCAGCTTCTCCAATGATTGGATCCACATACAGATTGAATAGGTATAGAGAAAGGATACCACCC